CTACCTCTGCAGCACTTCAAGGTCTCAGCAGGAATGCCATCTTTGCCAGGAGCTTTACCAGAAGCAAGGGAGTCTAGGGCATCGCTGAGTTCTTCCAGGGTCGGTTCGCTGTCGAGCTCCATTAACATAGGCAGACACTCAATGGCGCTCAGGGCATCTTCGGTGACCACATTGTCCCTGGCGTATAGCTCAGAGTAGTGCTCGACCCAGCGCTTCAGCTGCAGTGTCTGGTCCTGAATCACCTCGCCAGTGGCAGATTTCAGAGGAGCGGTCTTCCTCTGGATTAGGCCGAGGGCCTGCTTCATGCCGTCATACATTCCCCTTACATTGCATCTATCCGCTGCAGTCTGTATCTGGGAGCAGAGCTGGAGCCAATAGTTGTTGGCACATCGCCTGGCGCTCTGCTGCACTTTGCAGCGGACGGCCCGAAGCATCTGTAAGTTGCGCTGACTTGGGCAGGCTTTGTAGGCTGCCAAGGCGTTTCTCTTCTCTTCGATTACAGGTGTCATCTCTTCCGAGTGAGCCCCGAACCAGTCTGCCGACCTGCTGGTCTTCTTGCCAAAGGTGGAAATGGCAGCGTTGAACAAAGCGTCTCTGAAGTGCTCCCATCTTTTACAGGCAGTGACCCCAGCTGGGCCAGGGAGAGCTTCCTCGAGCACGTGTGCAAAATCTTCCACCTTGTCCTGGTTGCGGGTCTTGGTGGTGTCGATGCGAGGTCTGCCCGCCTTTTTCGAGTGATGAATCTTCTTTGGTTGCATCTTGACCCTGCTACATACCAGGGAGTGGTCGGTGTCACAGACAGCACTCTGGTAGCTACGCGTAATCTTGACGCTGGGTAGACTTTCACGCCTGGTAAGAATCAGGTCAAGCTGGTGCCAGTGCTTGGATCTGGGGTGTCTCCAAGATACTCGGTGTTGAGGCTTTGTGCCGAAGAACGTGTTGGTGACACAAAGACCATGAAGACAGCAGAGTTCTAGCAGACGTTGCCCGTTCTCATTCATCCTTCCTATGCCGAACTGACCCAGGCAAGTGAGCCAAATGTTGTGCTCGGCACCCACTCTGGCGTTGAAGTCGCCGAGGATGAACAGTGGCTCCTTTACAGGGATTCTCGCTATGACTCTGTTGAGGTCATCGTAGAATTTTTCCTTTGCCTCTGCTGGAGAAGTCAGGGTTGGTGCATATGCACTAATTACATTGACTGGTCCTATTTGGGAGTGCAGTTGCAGAGACAGAATTCGTTCGGTTTCCCCCATCGGTGGCATAATGTGTCCCAACAGTGCATTCCTGACGGCAAATCCCACACCATGTTCTCTGGTCTCATCTGGAGGTTTTCCTTGCCAGAAGAAAGAGAAGGTCCTCTCTCTCACAGATCCTGATCCTGGGAGCCTGGTCTCTTGGAGAGCAACAATATCCATCTGCAGCTTGCTCAGTTCCCTATCGATGATTGCTGTTTTTCGGGCATCATTGATTTCTTGCAGGTCGTCAGAGAAACCTGGTGTCAGTGTCCTGACGTTCCATGTGCCCAGCTTTAGGGCAGTTGATATTTTCTTCTTTGGTTTGGTATTGCTTGGTGCAAAGTTGTCGGGCCGCTTGTCGGTTTTCACCCTAAACCCCACGCACCCAGTGAGGTTAACGGACCGTGGCGAGGCAACACCTTATTGGCTGGGGTTTACCCAGCTTGAGGCGGGCGGTAGCTGCCCAGTGGGGCGCGATGACCCCTCCCACCGTCGGAAGCAACCCCTGGCGTCACACTCTTCGCCAATCGAGCAGAAGACTTAAAACCGGTAGACTGTCGCTTCCCGTGTTGGTTCGACGCTGTGAGGCGAAGCTGGAGTGTCCTCTCCAGGGCGCAAAGCCTGGGTAGATAGATATGGAGGAGAAGCTGTTACCCATGCAGCAGGTCCCCCCTCTCCACGTTGCTGAAATTATCCAATAGAAAGGCAAATGCCAATACGCATGGTTCCAGCAACGTCGCAGGAGCTGCCAGAACGAGGTCGACGTCAACAACGAACTGCTTTAGGGGCTCCAACTCCGGATTTTTCCTCGAGGTTGACTCCTGAAGCCTTTCCCAAAAAAGGGTATGGCCGCAAGGCAGCGGAGGTTTAAAATCAGGGTTTTCCTTCCCCTAGATGGGCTGCCTTCCCAGGCTATCGAGTCCCATCTACCCGGAGCAGCTGGTTTTAAGGCGCCAGAGGTACGCCTTAATTTAATTTGTATGTTTCTAATAACTGCATTAGATAGTCCAAAGTCATAATCAATGTTTTCTTTCCTGCAAGCCTCATTGGCCAATCGATCTACAAAGTCATGTTTTCCAACTCCAACATGGGATGGGATCCACACAAATTTTATACAAGAGTTATTATCATTGGCAAAAATTACATTCCATTTAATATTACAAGCTACTTCCGACAAACATTGTGATGGGTTATTTAAGGACTGCAGAGTACTTTTAGAGTCACAGAAAATAACTCCACCACCATTGAGCTTAAGGTATTCAGTGGCCAGATAAATGCCCAATAGCTCGGTCTGTGTCGTGCTTGCCCAGTTGTTCAATCTCTGTGTACTAGTCATGATCATTTCATTCCCTTTATATACTGCACATGCACAACCTGTTCTACCAGTGCCTAACTGCACAGAGCCATCAGTAAAGGCATAGAATTCAGTCGGTTTGAGAATTTGAAGATGACTGTCAATATCTTCTAATGTTATACATCTCAAAATGTCAGTGTTATACATTTGTTTTACACTGATGGGGGTATAATGCAGAGAGACCTCCACATCTTTCCAAGGGGGAATATAGTGAACAGTTTTATCAGGGTTAAGCGACACATTCAGTTTCTGAAGATTATAGGCACAACAACTGAGCCACACACTGTAGGGAGCTTTTTTGCGGCGGATTGAGGGAACAGTCAAAATTGTTTAGAATGGATCTCAATTTAATTTGAATAGAGCTGGGGAAACCATTATTTTTCAAAGTTTTGGCGCAAAACAGTACTAAGTAGAACTATTCTTTCGCAAATGGAAGGTAAGTTTAGTTCCTTTCTCATGTTAACAATTCTGAGTTCTAGGACAACCCAGGATGATGCGCATGGCATCGTTTTTTACTACATCTAGGCCTTGTAATTGTTTAGGAGAAAAATTAAGAAGACGCAAGGCATAATAATCAACAACAGATCGTATAAAGGCAATATAAAAACCACGAGCATATTTTATGTTAATGCCAAATCCTTTGCCAACAAGAGTTTTGAGAGGTTTAAGACGCTCAACTAGTTTTTTGCGCAGGTTGCTGACGAGATTCGTATCATTAACCTCGACTCCAAGATATTTATAAGACTCGCAAGTCTCCACGGGCACTCCATTAATAGTATAGTTAACATGAAGAGAATGGGGAATAAGAACCCTTGTTTTATCAACAGAGATTATGAGGCCACATTCTACTACTTTCTTGGAGAATGCATCAAGTAACACTTGTAGCCTTGGTTTACTGTGTGCAAAAATACTATTTTTTTTTAACTATTAGCAAGGTAATTAAAGTGAAAACAAATTATTTTCAAATGAATGCATTTATTGATTATATTTATTACATATATTAATTACATATAAAACCATTTAAAAACTACACATAAAAAATCACACACAAACTATTTTAAAACTTCAAAACACAAAAAAGCCACAAATTTAAAAAACAAAAATTGTGAGGCTCCTGCGAATACCCAAGCTACAGCTTGGTAAGCTTATGCCTAAACCAGGCACTACCTATCGCCATAGGTTTTGTAAAAAAGCTTTGCCATACCCAGATTTATTTTTACATATATAAGAATGAATTGAAGTTCTTTCAATATTTAGCCTATTATGTGCCTTAGCTCAAATAATGAGCCCAAATTAACTTAAGAGAGTATCTTTTACTATCATCAATTAGTTCAGTGGTACTGAGAACCAACCACTTATAAAAAATTCTAGAACTGAACACTCTTCATTTATTCATCTGAACATTATGTATCGCTAGACCGTGATACAAGCGAAACGTGTATGAATATACACTTCCTGTCCCCCGACACAATAAATTATATGTACGTGGTTCACCTATCATAACATCATAATGTCAGAAGCTGAAATATATACGAACATTTTATTCTGTATAAAGTATAAGTACATTACATTTGCCTAGCTACCATTTTACACACCAATAGAAAGCAAGCAAGAACAACTCTGAACATTTTTATTACAAGAAAAGCTGAAAATACATGCAGTCAAAAATTTGACTATAATGACATATATTTCATATAAGTTTACAAGTTGATTTTCAAACCAGTGTTACAACATTGTACAGAGGTCTTACAGGCGAAAAATCATCTCAAAATAAAATATATTCTCGTGTTCTGTTTCTCTAGAACAAAAATTAAGTGTATAGAACATTACAAGCATAGAACATGAGTACATTGCATAATAATTCGTTGGAAACGGAAACAAATGAGCACAAATGAGAAGTATTAGCAAGGTAGTGAATGTAATAGTGAATATTTGCTCACATTTACACAATTAAAGATCATCAACATTTTCCTAGAAATGGATCTTACTCCATACGCTGTGGAGCGTGATTGTGAGCGCTGGCCGTGTTAGCAACTGGGTGTGAACTCTGCACATGTTTTCTTGTGTCTCTCTCCATAATACGTTTTTGAGAACAGATTAACCTAATTATGATGAGCTTGCGAAGCCATCAGTGATCGCCTGACCCCAGTGAGGGTAACACCCAACCACTGTCTCCCACCGTATTTATTTTGCACACAAAGCGAAAGTATAAAAGCTACATTTTATTACCTCATGATTATTACATTCTTTTATATAACTTTGTTAGATTTTATTTATTTATTTATACAAGAATTCTTACATTCTTGTACAGCCACTAGTACGTTTAGCGTTTCGGACAAGTCCTTAATCCTATGTTCCCTGGAATACGACCCCTGTGAAGAATCGTTTTTACAACCAAGTACCCATTTTACTGTTGAGTTAAACAGGCTACAGTTAAGGATTTGCGTCCAGTAAATCCTCCCCGGCCAGGATACGAACCCAGGACAAAGCGCTCGCGGAATGCCAGGCGAGTTTCTTACCACTACACCACGAAGACTGCTCAATTATTTGCGTGTTTGGAACTGTCAGTTAAGTGGGACTAGAGAGCAAAGAACAAAAATGCCCCCACCAAATGCAAATTTTGCCACCCATCCTCCTGTTTACATAATACTTTTTGTAACTATGTTAGCCATCATACAGACATAGATGTAATGAACAAGAAGATAGTTGACTTTAGTACTATTCACTTTATAGAGTCCGACAAATTAAAGCTAAAAAATAAACTTGAATATTCCTAGGTCTAGTATAGCACATCTATACATTATAATAGGCCTCAGATAGCATGTATTAGGCTTAGGAAGGTTTTATTAGGTTAGGTTTTTTTGCTCCATCAGTACACAAACTTTTATGGGTTGTCCAAATTCAATAGAACCGATTTTTACATTCTAATTGCCTTTTACGTCAATATAGGTACAATGAATCTCTCGTAATATAAGTAATTACTTATAGTGGGTACTTAATGTAAGTATTACCTAAACAGGAGGGTGGGCTGAATTTTGGCAACTAAATTTTCTTATTGATTTTTATGGTAATTTCAATTTTGCAAAAATTTCTTACATTTTCTTCTTCCTGGTGCTCAAGGAAAACTCCACTTTTCTCGGTCTACCATAAATAAACCACTAGATCCCATTTTGTATTTGAGTTTATTAAAAAAAAAAACCCGCTTAAAGAAGGTTGCCACAAAATAGATGCCACAATGTGATGGGTAATTATGTCTTGTTAGTCCAGTGCTTTGGGCTGAGAATACTCAATGAATTAACTTTTAACTCACCAAGTACAATAATTATTAACTCTGCTTATGAAGAAAACACCAAGATGAAAGTAAAGTTCATTGATGCAAAGTCTTTAATGAATAAAACATTCTCTGAAAGTAGTCTTATTATATAGTTGTTTAGAATTTTACGTTGCTTCAGCGTTGTAAAAACGATTAGTAAATATAACATTTTGGTAACGATGTTTGCTTCTCTTTATCGTTGTAAGAACTTTGTACTCTTTGTCAAGCAATATTGTTAATGGGAAGCCTCAGAAGGTGTCTGCTGTCGACAAGAGGTAACACATCAACACTCACAATATGCACTTGCATTATAGAGTGCATATTGTTTAAGGTATATAATGGGTTTACTGAACCCCTTAGAAGTCGTCAGTCTGCAGGGTACAGACAATGGTTACAACAGCGGAATAAGGATATAAACTAAAAAATGAATAATACAAAACATATAATCTAGATAAGTAATTATGTTAAATATCATGATGGGATAACTGGTCATGGTCACGTCTGTCTGACATGCCGTGTCTGTCTCTATCTCTGACTGTGTCTCAGAAAATGTAATACAGTACTATGAAAACATGTGAAAACTGTCCAAAAACTCAGAGGAAAACAAATTCTCGATTTTGGAATCCATCAAAATTGCAATGGTCATTGTCGGCAATAATATTTCTTAAAGGGAGACAATGTGGCTCACTTCGAATAGCCTGTGACCATTGCATACCACGTACGTGTCATCTTGAAAAACTGAGTGACGCTAGCATCAAGCGTCTGGCCTCGTTCCTTGGATAGAAATTCTTTTTTATATAGATGCATAATTTCTCGCTAAAAAACAACATAGGCGTAAAACTGTTTAAAACTGTCAAGAGGACAGAGGTGTGTGTGAGGCTGGCGAGGCACCCCTCCTTACTGTCCAGCCCGTTCTCGTCAGCGATCCCAACGTCAAGAAACTGTTGTGCTGGAGTACCCTTATGTATAGGTGAGAGGACCCAAAACAGAAAACGGGACATTGTCAATTTCGCGAGCCGTTACCATTTTCTTGAACGGCAGTTTTTGGCCGTGGGTAAAGTATGCGTCATAATACAACATGCTATTAAGAGGACGGGTTGCACCATTACAGTGTTGTGCGCAGTAAACCAAGCAACGGGGCGCACAATATCACACACAGTGAGATGAGATCCAAGCAGGAGGTTTATTTTCCAGACATTCATGGACTATTCCCGGTAGTACAGTTGGCTTCGTTCTCGACTCACAATCGGAAATTCAGGGTTCGAATCTCGGGCGGGTCAGAAATGATCCTGCATCGTACATATTTCCTAACGCCTAATGCATCTGTTCACCTAGCAGTAAATATGTACACAGGTGTTAGCTTTTGTGGTGTTGCATCCTGGGGAGGGAGGGGGGGGATCTCGGTATAAGCCTTACATTTATATATACACTGGTTGCCTGTCCCTGACACAATGAGTTATTATCCCATGGTGACTCGCACAGCTCTTTTAATATCCCAAAGAATATATTCAATATATCACTAATCCTGATTCGTTTGATTAGAATATAACTTTTGCTCTACATGCTCTCACCAGCGTCTAATGGCTTGGCGCTTTTTCCTCATAACTCCCTCCCTCCTGCTCATCAGATTTACAAAAACTGAAATAAAGTTCTCTGGCGCCTGCTGCGGAAGACACTATTAGAGTGGACACATGTAAGAGCAGACTTATGCAAGAGTAGACATATATAAGAGTGGACACATGTAAGAGCAGACTTATGCAAGAGTAGACATATATAAGAGTGGACACATGTAAGAGCAGACTTATGCAAGAGTAGACATATATAAGAGTGGACACATGTAAGAGCAGACTTATGCAAGAGTAGACATATATAAGCGTGGACATATGTAAGAGCAGACTTATGCAAGAGTAGACATATATAAGAGTGGACACATGTAAGAGCAGAATTATGCAAGAGTAGACATATATAAGAGTGGACACATGTAAGAGCAGACTTATGCAAGAGTAGACATATACGTGTTGGACGCCCTGGTATAGTGGGCGCCATCTTGCACTTGCATGCCTACTCAGCACCTCTCAGAACACAGAGACCATTGTATGCTGGTCCCAGATGGACAAAACGCAACACTGAGACGGGGGCGAGCCAAACCTAGACACAGGACGTAAGAACATAAGACAAGGCATCAAGGACATAAGAACAGGGAGTACACAAAGCAAACACCAGCACTACGTATATATATCCGGGAACTCCTGTGCCGGAAAGTGAATGCAGTATGCTTCTCAAATCAGCAGGACGTCATCGGGGTACCCGGCCGCAAGGTGGCGCCCATGGCCAAGGCATCAAATCCGACACCCCATAAATAAACTCCCTCATTCGCGGCACCCAGATAGTGGAAGAGCACCCTGGGCATCCCGGCAGCCGTGAAAAGGCCCCCCCCCCCTCCCAAACCGGGGCAATGAAGTGAGGGGAACTGCCGGGCGCAGTTCCGCAGGCGCGGCAATGTCCCTGCCACAGGGCACCAGAGTCAAGGCCCCCCCCCCCCCAGCGCACATCCTTCCTCAGCACCATGACGAGGACTCGATCATCAGGGGCAACCTCTCACTGCGGGGAGACAACAGCAGGAGGCGCAGTCACAGGAAGCAACTCGGAGCCCCTCATAGCCCTGTCACCTACGGCAGGGGATGCTGGAGTCCCATATTCCCCCACCTCCACCCAAGGCTCAACAGGCCCACCCAGAGCTCAACCCCCGCAAACACAACTAGGTGAGTACAACTAGGTGAGTACGAAGGGGGAGACACATTCCGAACCCGCTGCGATCGCTTTGAGAGAGGCTGCCAGTCGTCCGAGCTATCACTCCCATCTTCCTGCAACACAACAGAATCCTCTGGTGGGCGTGCTTGTAAAGCACGACCCCTGAGAACCACAGCTTCCACAACCGGATGCACCAGACCACACACCACAAGAGACAGCCCCTTGCAGACAGCCAAAGTGACAGGAGACAACTTATCCAGGGAAAGAAGCAGGCAGGGGGAGCTGAATCAGGGTGGGCTGGGGCACCTGGTGCAGGGACGGATGAGGCGGGGAAGCCGGCGGGGGCGGGGGCCACACTAACCACCACGTTGACACCCACACTCACATCCGCATCCAAGCCAGCTGCAGAATCCAACAACGGGGCACCAAACGGCTGGGAAGCAACGCACATCACACCAGCACCTGGGGGACTGGTCTGTGGCCAACAACAGGGGAAAATCTTCCTCATGGTTGAGGTTAATAGGGGTGACCCGGCACGCCACACACACCCAGCAGCCTGCTGACCCGACAAGCCACACCGGAAACACGTCCGGGGCTGGCTTGCACAAAACACACGAAGAGGGTAACCCAGCAGCATGACGGAGGATGGAATATTACCCCTGAGGCGCGTGGTGAGAGTGCGGGTCCCACACGGGAAACCCATCCACATCCTTGAGGAGACAGCATTCATCTGCACTTGAAGCACCTGCCCAAAACAGGCAAAGTACCGACACAGGAGGTCTGCAGGGAAATCGAAGGGTACCCCATGCACCGCCACATACGTCGTCGTACCGCAGCGATCGGAGATAGTCCCGGACCCACCATCATCAGGAAAAGTGAAGGAACACCCATCACAGCGCTCAGTGAGATCACGGTAAACCACCATGGAGCTGACTTCACAATCGCCCGCCTCCCAGGAAGCAGCTGCACACCACACACGGTCTCCACAGGAACACGTAACATGTCCACAATCATCACTTCCACCACCAGGTAGGAAGCATTGCCAAAAATTCCAGGCCAATAGAGTCTCTCCTAACGACAGGGGGCACAGGCACCCCCATACTGCAGGACAACTCGGCCAAGGGCCCCTCGGTAGAACACGTCACTCTGGCCACGTCAGCAGCCACACCAGGGCCGGCACTCCATGGCAGATTGTCAACAAGTGGAGGGGCATGCGAAACAATCGTACTCCACGGCCATAAAATGGCACCAGGGCGCCATTGATCCTTGAACCCAATGAGTATGGTTCTTGGCATCCCGTCGTTGATTTCAGAAAACCGTTCAATGTGACGATACCTGATAGGTATCTTGTATCATATGGTCGGCCCGAAGCGCTGCGCATACTAGTGGCTTTACAAGACTGTAATTACCATTTTATATATCCTCACATTCCCAATGTACCTTCTTGTATATGCATAAATAAATAAATAAATAAATAAATAAATAAATAAATAAATAAATAAATAAATAAATAAATAGGTTTCCACTTCCCGTGCTCACTGACTTATTGAAGAACATAGACCAGAATAAGGTTTTTTCTACTCTTGATCTATTGCAAGATTTTTGGCAAATACCACTTAACCCAGAAAGCCGAGAACTGACAGCGTTTTCGGTCCCTAATGACCATTGCCAGTACACCCGCATGCCTTTTGGCTTACACAGCATCCCTATTACTTTCTCTAGACTTATGACAAACTTGTTCCGATGAATGATGGGTAATACCCTCATGGTTTGCCTCGATGACCTCATAATCATGTCCAAGGATGTACCAACCCACCTTCAAAGTTTAGAACGTGTTCTTCAGAAACTATCTGAAGCTAATTTGAAGATCAAACTTCAGTAAATGTGCTTTCATGAAAAAAGAGATAAAGTTTCTAGGCCATAATGTAACCCCACAAGGTGTCACCACTCTTGACTCAAAGAAAGATGCTGTGAAGAACTATCCTGCCCCTCATAATGTTGAAGTTGTACAAAAGTTCATAGGTCTAGCAGGATTCTACTGCCATTTCATCGCTGGCTACTCAGTGATTGCGTCTCTTCCTCACCTCCTTAAGAAGGTGAATGAATTCACCTTCTTAAGAATGGGACGTCTGTCCCATTCGCATGGACGGCTGATCAGGAGAAAGTGTTTAAAACATTTAAAGAGACGTTGATATCTGCTCCCATTCTCAAGTTCCCGGACTTCTCCAAACCATTTGTCTTAGTCATTGATGCCAGTAATATTAGGTTAGGAGCCGTACTATCAAAAACAAGCGACAGAAAAGAACATGTCATTACATATGCAAGCCGAGTCCTCTCCAAAGCAGAAAAGAATTGCTTGACAACAGAACGTGAGGCTGTAGCTGTAGTGTGTTCTCTCAGACATTTCATACATCATCTACAACCACCCTGTCCGTGTACTGACAGACCACCAAGCCATTATCCCCTTGTTTAAAGAAAAGAATCCAATAGGCAAGTTTGCCCATTGGTCGCTCACCATACAAGAGTTCCTACCCACGTTTGGATACTTACCTGGCAAACATAATGTAGTTATCGATGCCCTCTCCTACTACGTCGCTCCTATTCAAGTTGAATACCCTTCATTTGACTTGCAAGATGTAGAAATAGCACAACAACAACAAGACCCAATGTAGGCACCGATCATAAGCTTTCTAATGAACCCGAACACGACTTTTACAGTCAAGCCTCCCGTGCCGCTCAAAGAACTAGTACTCTTAAATCACGTGCTCCACTGCAAGGTTATGCTTAGATCTCCAGTCAGAATGATACATCAACTTGTTATTCCTGCGTCGATAGTACCTACCGTGTTGAAACTTGTCCATGACACCCCACACGGTGCGCATCCTGGCAAGGACCACACCATAAAGCAGCCTCATCTTAAGTACTACTGGCCCAAAAAGGCAAAACAGATTGAACATCTCGTGCATCAATGTCAAACCTTCCTAGCTCATAGAGACCGTGTTGCTGGCCCGAACCCGATTCAGACTTACCCTACGACTAATGCACCTTGGGACCGTGTTTCTGTGGCCATGCTAACAAACTTTACTGAAACTTCTAAAGGTAATAAACATCTTCTAGTTATGTTAAATAATTTCTCTCGATATTGTAAACTGGTTCCAATTCCAAATAAAACTGCAGAAACAATAGCTAGTGCATTTTATGATAACATAATTTGCAGGTATGGTTCACCTAGAGTTTTACTTTCTGACAAAGGTCCGGAATTCAACATTTCTATTATGGAACAACTGGCTAAACCGTTCAACATCAAAAGTGTAATATAATGCCTTATCAACCGGCTAGCAATGGCCTTGCTGAAAGAACAAATAAGAAAGTACTTGACGCACTCAGAGTAACAGTCAGTCGGGACAGTCACAAATGGGATGAACTTATAATCGTCCAAAAGTCGATAAACTCCTCTGTCAACTCTTAAATAGGAGATACACCTCACTTTGTGCTTTTTGGGACAAACATGAGCCTCCCAAATGCTCTCATATCCTCGCCTCCTGTGCCACTTTACAACTATGATGATTATGTTAAAGTCAAAGAAAGAGACAATTGGTGTTCCAGAGAGTCAAGTAACACCTATCTAAAGCTACTGACAATTTCACTTGGTTACAAAACGCTCATGCTAAACCTACAAAAATAGGATCTGGATCTTTAATAATGATCCTCAACCAGCGAAGAGATGGTCCCATGTACTGAGAAGTTTCTTGGTCCTTACAGAGTTCTTGAACATATTACAGGTAACAAGTACAAGCTGGAGAACCTAGCTACTGGTGAGCATGTAAATGAACATCTCAATCACATGAAATTGGCCCGCTTGACAGTTGATGATGACAACCCAGTACCTGTAAATACCAACATATTGACTGACCCTACCACCGTGACACCCACTCCGGTCGTAGACACGAACAAGGTACCGCAACACCTGGTACTCAAACTTACAACCTTCGGTCCAGACCAGTTATTTTAACAGTACACCACCATCAGTCTGATGATACACGCGCGTGTGACTGTGGTGTTCCAGTCTGTATAGGACAATGGATGCGTTATATGAGCTCCCCACCTCCTGACTGTTAGTATAAAGCAGAGGATGACTACGTTCGTGAAGAACTAGCTCCTAACATTCATAGTTTTTATGTCTAGCTGTAAGGGTAATGCTTACAATATTATTGACTAAGTAACAAACTTATGCCTACTAACTTCTATCCTTTTCAACTAACTTTAGTTAATATATTACGAGAAAGCTCGTCCTTATTGAGTACCAAACCATTAATGTGTGTTTGACACTTTATGTAACATTGCCACAGCGTATCCATTGAGATTTCCTGATAAAATGAAACCAATTAACACCGTTATACATCTGTTCTCTTTCCTTTGCCACAAATATATAGAATATGATACCTACAAACTTACCCTTAGTTCATAGTTTCAATGTTATCACGTCTCTTACAATCACTGTTCATGTCCTCGTGTTTCAGCCACGTCCCTACACTCCATATTTTAGTGGAATGTCTCTTATACTATGTACTATATCGTGTCTATGTTAGAGTCTACCGATTATAATCTTCATAGCAGGTAACACTGTGGTTGAGCATCATGATCCTCGCGCACTACTTCTGGTCCTCTGCCTCTACATCCTACGACTACTCTGCCTCTATCTGCAGATGGACCTACTGCTACATCCTACGACTACTCTGTCTCTATCTACAGATGTACCTACTGCTACATCCTACGACTACTCTGTCTCTATCTGCAGATGGACCTACTGCTACATCCTACGACTACTCTGCCTCTGTCTGCAGATGGACCTACTGCTACATCCGACGACTACTCTGCCTCTATCTGCAGATGGACCTACTGCTACATCCTACGACTACTCTGCCTCTATCTGCAGATGGACCTACTGCTACATCCTACGACTACTCTGTCTCTATCTGCAGATGGACCTACTGATACATCCTACGACTACTCTGCCTCTATCTGCAGATGGACCTACTGCCTCCAGTATGCCCAGATGTTTAGCTAGTTAGTCATGATGCTCCATGGATAGCTTAGTTTTAAAATTATATTTATGCTATGTACTCTATGTTGATGCATGTCCGCGACGATGTTGGACATCTCAAAGCTTGTTTACGGCCACTACAGGTAAATACTCCTGTACATAAATGTTAGTTAGGTACACAACCAAGAAGTTCTTCAAGCAGATCGTCGAGGACAACGATGATAGTGTGCCAAGTGGTGTTGGACACCCTGGTATGGTGGGCGCCATCTCGCTCTTGCATGCCTACTCAGCACCTCTCAGAATAAGGAGCCGGTTGTATGCTGGTCCCAGAGGCAACGAGAACCTCACTCCATAAGCAGATCAGCGTCAACCCTCGCTCCACACACACACACACACACTACATGGGGCCTCGTAGCCTGGTGGATAGCGCCCAGGACTCGTAATTCTGTGGCGCGGGTTCGATTTCCACACGAGGCAGAAACAAATGGGCAAAGTTTCTTTCACCCTGAATGCCCTTGTTACCTAGCAGTAAATAGGTACCTGGGAGTTAGTCAGCTGTCACGGGCTGCTTCCTGGTGTGTGTGTGTGTGTGTGTGTGTGTTGTGGAAAAAAAAGTAGTTAGTAAACAGTTGATTGACAGTTGAGAGGCGTGCCGAAAGAGCAAAGCTCAACCCCCGCAAACTCAACTAGGTGAAAACATACACACACACACACACATACCATAGCTGTTATGTGGCCCAGCTACAACCACAACCAAGCAACCAAAGTTAATATAAGAGCGGACACTTGTAAGAACAGACCTATGTATGTCTTATGAGTAGACATACATAGGTCTATAAGACCTATGTATGACACATGAGAGCGAACACATGTTTGTCAGTGAACTTTTAAGAAGGTAATACAAATAATCATGACATTTAAATTCATAATAAGAAGCAATGCCTGCCAAGGCGCAGTCACACCTGAAGACTCGAAATTGTTTAGTTTTTGATTTGACTGTGACCGAGGAACACATTTGACTCTAGTGAAACACATCATACCAGTTGATTGACGGTTGAGAGGGGGAACAAAGAGCCAAAGCTAAACCCCCCGCAAGCACAACTAGGTGAATACAACTAGGTGAGTACAACTAGATGAGTACATTACTGCCATGCTGACACCATCACCAAGTAGGGTCCGGTCTCTCGGAGGGTAATTATATTGTAATGAGTGGCTTTTAACTCTTCAACTAAACATCTGACCCTCAAACCAGATTCAGTTAAACTTCTCAGACTTATAGAAGCCTTAGCCAGTGGTGGCTTTAACCATTGCGGGGTTATGGTGACCATCTTCAGCTATGGGAAGTCTCAGCTTAGTCTCAGTGGCTTGGACTACTGAAGGGATATGGTGACCATTTACACATATATGATGCCCCATCCAGGGGTAGCTTGGATCACTATAGGGGAATATGGTAACCATCTAACCTACGGGAAGCCCTAGCCAGGGGTGGCTTAATTTAGACAACTGTGGCCATATGGTAACCATTTACACATATAGGGAAACTCAGCCAACATAGAAACTATATGCTTGTCTCAAAGATTAAGCCATGCATGTGTAAGTACAAGCCGAGTTAAGGCGAAACCGCGAATGGCTCATTAAATCAGCTATGTTTCATTGGATCTGTAAACCCACTTACTTGGATAACTGTGGTAATTCTAGAACGGCCATGAACGTTGGATTGTTCACCCACCAATAGGGAACGTGAGCTGGGTTCAGACCGTCGTGAGACAGGTTAGTTTTACTCTACTGTTTTACCCTATATATATATATATATATATATATATATATATATATATATATATATATATATATATATATATATATACTGTTTACTCTACTACTTACTCCCTACTGTTTACCCTATATATATACATATATATATATATATATATATATATATATATATATATATATATATATATATATATATATATATATATATATATATATATATATATATATATATATATATATATATATATATATATATATATATATATATATATATATATATATATATATATATATATATATATATATGAAGGAAACTATAATTAATATTCGTTGTCAGCTCGTATGATGGGGTTGCCAGCGTTGAGTGGAGTATGAGGGATGGTGGTAGAGGTGCTCCTGAGGGTGAAGACTGTGTCGGGGATCAGTAGTGGGAGAAGCAGTGGGTGGGCTTGTGTGCTAGGTCCCTGGAGGGTGTGAGGTGGAGGGCGGGGCCGCTGTGAGCACTCATGATGCAGGCCAGGGACACACAAGGCGTCCTCTTGTACGGCTCCTCCGGCGTCAGACAAACCTGCCCACAGTAAACGTATTTCTCATTATTTCTAGAATTAAAGGTGTAACTTGAGGTGTTAATTACCAAACAAAAAATTATTTTTAGAAGTAATGTAAACTCAAACTGGGGTCCAGGATGTGCAAGGTCTACTAGCTACCACTGCAACATAATCTGGTATAAGCATTAGAACTGGAAAATCGTCTAATTTAATTGACGCTATGTCAGTCCAACTATCTTGTTAGCTTTTCCCTTGTACACTCTTGTTTAATTGCCTACACACAAACTGCGGTAATGCAACATCTTCACTACAGTGGTCGACACTCTCTGCCCTCCGGGGGTTCCCTCAGAGTTTGACTTTCGTGGATAACTTCTACTGTCACACAGAACACAACCTAAATAAAAACACAGTTTCATTGCAAGTAGATCTCCACCACACTTATCATCAAAATATTGCTACAATGGCCTGTGGCCAATTCACAACCCCAAAATTATAAATTATGAAACCCAGGCTCATAGAAATAGATGTTCTGTTTTTTAAACAATATATACCATATTTAAGTTAGGCTCGTCCGAGCAGCAGCCAATCCCGGAGACTCATTCATCAGTTTTAACATACTGTGTGTTCAGAGTCAGTGTTTATCTTATATAAATATTGTTTTATATTAAAATTTCATATACAGTTAGGCCAAGGTTAGGTTATGTGCTGTGATAATGATTTTTATGACATTTTTTTCTTCCACAGACGAGGCCACACATTTACAATGCTAACCATCATATATACATTTTCTTCTGTCCTCCATGGACATAGTTAGAGATGTGTTAAACATATAGTTCAGAGGTTTATTGAACAATCAAACACAGAAGGTGATTCGGTGCTTCTAAAATGCTAAGCTAATCTACATACGTAAATACACAGATTTACGTATGCCCTACATAAAGTGTTCGATGTGTCTTTTACATAGTGGCATTAATGTGCATTTACAAAGGTGAAATGTAATTCTGATCAGCTTCCATATATACCTTATACACATACATATACATACACACACACATATACGTACATATACATATATACATACATATATACACACACACAAGCATTCACATTCATTTGACAGGGTGAGATAGCTGATAGAGAAACTAGTGTGCAATTAAGCACTTAATCACTGAAGGTGATTAAGGTGCTTTTACAAGTTCAGGGTATATAGTTACATCACATACATACAATGTATAATTGATACATTACATGGTCAATCTTGGGTACAAGTCCAATATATCATCAAGTGTTCCAGTACTCATATAGTAACTACAGATTTCAGCATACCTTAGCCCAGGAGGGCGAAAGTCAGTCAGTATGGGACATTCTACAATATAATGTTCAAGAGAGTGCATGTTTTCTCTTTCACAAAATTGACACATTGTGTACTCGACATTTGAGTTTTGAGAAAGCTGCCAGATACGTCTCTATCCCAGGCGTATTCTGGCCACTATAACATCACATTGCCGGGTTCTTGTTCTATTAGTTCCATATGTGAATTTCTCCTCACGATATCTATCATAATATTTAATGCTACAACTTTCAGGTCTTTATGAATTTGTTAGATTGGTTAGATATTTGTTTAAGTATTCTTTTTGTCACTGCTAATGAAACACCCATATCAATTTCTACCACAGGTTTTCTACAGGCTGTCTTTGCAAGCATATTAACAGTGTCATGCCTTGAGATGCCAACAAGTGATGGTATCCATAGGAACTTAATTTCAAATCTGTTTTCTTTACAGCTATAACATTCATTCGAATATCACTGACTATTTTGTGGGTGTCACTACTATGTGCGTTCAATAGCAGGAGTGCACTCTGGGAGTCACAGTATTTAAGTCCACTTCCTTTGTCTTTTAAAAATTCAGTGGCAAAGTATATGCCTGCAAGTTCTGTTTGAGTTGTACTTGCCCAGTCATTGATGCGCTTCATTGCTGTATGTACGAGAGAAGATTGTTCAAATAATGCGTGAAGGCTCTCCCGTTGACTGCATAGGTGGTGATGTTGGGTAATGCTTCACAATAAGGCACCCCAGTGTTTATTTATTTATTTACTAGCTGTACCCTGCCACACGTTGCTGTGGCTCAGCAACGCATGTGCGTTGCTGAGCTACAGCAACCTTTCCCCGTCAACCAGTCCTCCCCACCATTCCCCCCTTCCCCGTCCCCTCATCCTCCCAACCACGCCTCACTTCCCCGTTCCCTTGTCCTCCCACCCATACCCCACTCCACTATCCACTATCCCCTTGTCTTCTCCACCATTCTCCCCATCCCTATGTCCTCCCCACATTCTCCATTCCCATACCCCTCGTCCCCACCACCCCCAACCCCCCAATCCCATCGTCCTTCCTACCATTCCCCACTCCCTCATTCGATGCATTCCCAAATGATCTGATGTTCCCATCATCGAAATATATGAAAAACAGTTAAAAAAACAAGATGAAAAAATGAAAAAAAAATATACTCAAGAAATGAAAGGTATGGTAAACAACACAGTTCAATTCCAATGCAATGTTACACAAAATAATTTAATCAAAATGAAAATAAATCGAACTCTATGAAAATTCAATTTATCAATGCAATCGGAAACATTGAAATGGAATTGTAACATATTTACTACAGTGTGTGCTGCTCTTATGTGCAACAGATGGCGCTGTTTTGTAAAAAAAAAAAAAAAATGTTTTTACCTGTAACAAGTGTGGCATCTATACTTATACTCTTGCAAATTAACAGTATGGTAAACAACACAGCTTAATTCCAAGGCACTGTCACACAAAATAATTAAATCAAAATGAAAATAAATCGAACTCTATGAAAATTCAATTTATCAATGCAATCGGAAACATTAAAATGGAATCGTAACATATTTAGTATAGCGTGTGTTGCTCTTACATGCAACAGATGGCGCTGTTTTTCAAAAACGGCATGGTTTTACCTGTCACAGGTGTCACATCTATATAGTATATATGTAAAAACTTGCGCATATTCGAATGGCATGTTGTGTCAAAATTTCAAAGGAATCAGTGAAAAACTTTTGGAGATTAGAGCGTGTGTTTCTCTAACGTCCAACAGATGGCGCTGTTTTTCCTAAAAAGTATATTTTTACCTGACACAAGTGTAGCATGTATATAGTTGGTATATAAAACAAATGCGGACTTGAATGCAACGTTGTGTCAAAATTTCAAAGCAATCGGTAAAGAGATTTTGGAGATTTCCCTCACATGAAAAATCCTTAAATACCTAGTTTTTAAAAAAATGGATATTTTTACTTTTCACAGACGTGACATCTATATAATAAGTAAATAAAAACACGCTCGTATGCGAATGGAACTTCGTGTCGAAATTTCAAAGCAATGGGTGAAGAACTTTCTGAGTTTGGCGATTTTTAACAAACGAATATTTACATTTTTATTTATTAGTATATTTTGGTAGCAGGTAGGTAAAAAAACGGCCAACCTACTCATGAAAAATTCTCCAGATACAAAGCAGAACGCCTTAAAGGAGACCAACGTCGTCAATGCCTTCAAATGCCCACTTGGGGACTGTAAACCCCAAAGAACTCAGTATATAGGCAAGACAACAACATCTCTTTCCAGGCGATTAACAATGCATAAACAACAGGGCTCCATTAAGGAACATATAATCTCTTCCCACAACCAGACCATCACCAGAGAAGTCTTTACAAACAACACAGAAATCATCGATAGATATAACGATAGCAGGCGGCTCGACATCTGCGAGGCACTACACATCAATAAGTCAACAACAGCAATCAACAGCCAGTTAATGCACAACTATATTCTAAAACTTCAAGACTCCGTACCAATATAGAGGCATCAAGAGGAAGTATGGGCCAATAGGCCCTTTGCAGTTACTTCCATTCTTATGCTCTCATATATCCAATTAATACCCATTGTTCCGTGTTCTGTCTTGTGTTTGTCAAAAGTTTGTTCACCTCATCCAAAACTGTTGCAACAAATCACCTCACCCAAGTGCGAGTATATAAGACAGATAAGTTGTTTAGTGTTAGCATAAGTAAAATTCTGTTTAGTGTTTTCAGGTTACAGTTGTGTGTGTGTAAACTAAAGTCTTTGAAAATGTAATAAGTTATTACGAAACGCGTTCAAGTATCGCGTCAGACTAGAAGTAAAAATGAATTTTGGAAAATTGATTTTTCATTTACTATCGACAGTAAAAGGAAACATAAGAAATATTGAGAAAATTCGTGTTAGAATTATTAATCTTATTTTTTCGGTCATATTTTATAACATATTTTTATTTATATAGACTAAGTGTACCCGGCCACGCATTGCTGTGGCTCTGCGCCACAGCAACCCTCCCATTTCCCCCGTCCTATCCCACCATTCCCCTCTCCCCCGTCTCCTCGTCCTCCCAATCATTTCCCACTCCCCCATCCTCATGTCCTCCCCTCCCACTTCCCAGTCCCCTCGTCCTCTCCTCCATTCCCCACTCTCCCTGTCCCCTCATCCTACCCACCATCTCTCACTCCCTTTTCCTTTCGTCCTCCACACCATCCCCCCCCCTCGTCCTCCCCCCATCCCCAACTCCTCTTGTTTCCTTGTCCTCATCACAATTCTCCACTCCTGCTTTCCCCTCGTCCCCACCTTCCCCCACTCCTGGGTCCCCTCGTCCTTCCCACCATTATCCCCTCCTCCATCCCCTCGTCCTCCCCACCATCCCCCTCTCTGGTCCCATCGTCCTACCCATCATTCCCCACTCACTTGTCCAAACAGTTCCGAATTGATCTGATTTTCCCATCAGAAAAAGGGGAACATCAAATGATGTGATGCTCCCATCACTGAAAAAAGAACAGTTAAAAAACGAAATGAAAAACTATGGATAAAAATTAAATGGTACTGACAAAATGAAAGGAATGGTAAACAACAAAGCTGAATTCCAACGCAATGTCAAACTAAATAATTAAATCAAAATGCAAATAAATCGAAATCTATGAAAATT